GGTCTCAGTTTAAACATCAGTTCTTCTTGGAAGCACCTCTGATCCTCCCAAACATGGACAGTTGTCCCCAACCCACCCCATCTGCTGTCTCTGTACTTTGTGCCTCTCCCTGCTACAGCATTGATCCCATTGCACCATCCTGCATATTTCCTTGTCTCTCTCCTGCCCTGGATTCCAAGAGGACAGAGGACTGGCTCTATTGCACGTACTGCTAACATCTTAAATATCTAGTAGAGTTTGTCCCCAATCAGTATTTGTTGAACAAACAGATGAATGGATGGTATCTGAGCTCTCCAGAAATATTTGCTAAATTGTATTATTTGTGAAAATCTAAAGTATATTTTCCTGGGAATAGACTTGCTGGTTGTTGAGGACACATTGAGACTGGAATCTCTTTACAGATTCCCTGGAATGGGTTCTATGAACTCTCTGGAAAGAAGAAGAGCTGCATCTAAGGCAAAGCTAGGAAGATGGTGAGCTGGATCAAGAATCAAAAGTTGACTCAGGGCTGGGCATGGTGGCTCACGCCTGTAATCCCAGCATTTTGGGAGGCTGAGGCAGGAGGATTGGTTGAGCCCAGGAGTTCTAGACCAACACAGGCAACAAAGCGAGACCCCATCTCTACAAAATATAAAAATAACTAGCCAGGCACGGTGACACATGCCTGTAGTCCCAGCTACTCAAGAGGCTGAGATGAGAGGATCACTTGAGCCCAGGTTGTCAAGGCTACAGTGAGCCATGATCGCACCACTTCCCTCCAGCCTTATAGAGTGAGACCCTGTCTCCAAAAAAAAAAAAAAAAAAAAAAGAGTGAAATCTGGAAGCCTGGCAACTCAGCAAGGTGAAGAATGAGTTCTGGACTGGAGTGGATTCCAGACTGGGTCTTGAGCCTTCCTCCTTTAAGGTGGACTGGTAATGTCCTTCCTGAGAAAAGAGTCCCACTTGGGGAGAATCTCTCCAGCTATGTCTCATGCTTCTCCTGCCCATCCTCCACTCCCATAGCCTAGCACAGTGCCTGGCCAAGAGGATGCCCAGTGGCATGTATCCATTAGAGAGTATGGCAGGCATACCGACTTCCCGAAACCAAGGATCTCCTCCTCCATGTACTTCCAGGCCTTGGCTGTGGGGGTTATGATGCAGGTATTCTCCACAATCGAATAGCACAGCACCAGCAAGGCCTCTGTGTGGGGCAGCTGCAGGAGGCTGCAAGAAGACAGCACTGAGGGTGGGGCTGGGCCAGGTGGCTGGGGCAGGAAGCTACATCCAGTCTCCTCCCCTTCCCTTAGTGTCTGCTTTGGTCATACACATTCAGTACGCTCAGCATGGGGCCTCTGGACAAATCGCCTACTTTTACAAATGAGGAACTGAGGACCCGAAAGGAGAAATAACTTTCTCAGGATTGCAATACTAAACAGGGCAGAGACAAGACCAGAACCCAAGTCTGGTAGTTCCAGGTACAAGGCTTACATGGAGAATGAGCATTTGAGCAGTGCTTAAGCCAACAATGGGCACAGAATGGGTGAGGCAGGAAGTTGCTAGCTGTGCCTGAAGCCCAGACAGGTCTGAGTGGATCTGGAGGCTGAAGCTAGGAAAATGGGCTTCTCATTCCCAAGGAAGGCAGAAGGGAGGGCAGGGTGGATGACAGAGTCAAAACTTCCTATACCTGCCAGGGTTTTGGTTTCTCCAGTAGGAGTTCTCATCATATATTTCATTCATTTCATCCATTTGCTGGGCTGACCGAATGAGCTCCTGGATGTTCTCCATCATCATGGGAGTAGACTCTACTTCTCGCACCCGGGGAGTGAAGGAGGAAGGGTTAGAAGATAAAGATTCAGAGTGAAACTTGGGCTCTGAGTCTGTCTGCAGCTGAGACACAGCCTCCAGTCCCTCCTTAGTCCCCTGTCCTTCTTCCTGCTTTCCCTCCTCTTCCTGTTCCTCTTCTTGCTCTTCTTGTTCCCGCCCCTCTTCCTGCTTGTGTTCTTGCATCGGCTCCTGCCTGTGCTCCACTCCTTGCTCTTGCCTGCGCTCTGGCGCTTGCTCCTGGCCTCCCAGGGACAAGGAGGATTGTAGGAGCTCTTCCACGTTGTTGCTAAGCCTCTCAGGCCAGGGCTGGAAGGCCTGGCGTTCTGTCCCTACAGCAGGGTTTAGAGAGACAGGAAAGAGACAGTCAGGCTTCTGGCCCCTGAGTGTCTTTGTTCACAGAGGGACACACACATAAACAAAGCAGACCAAGTCACACTTACCCACACACAAAAACACAGAAAAGAATGTAAGTATCAAACTAAAAGAACATTACCACGGCAATTGTAAGGTTGGTGGTATGTGTCACCTTCCCACCTCCCTGGCAAGCACTCCTCCTTCCCTAACTTCCACCTCAAATACCACCTTTTGTCCCACTCCCGTAGGAAACACCAAGTATGCTGGGTAGCTAGCAGCAAATCCTTTCTAAAGTGAAGAGGTTAGCTTATAAAGGGCCCAGAGTCTTCCAATGCAACAATGTCTTTGGAATTGGGAAAAATGGATTCAGGGCAAAACTGTAAGTAATGGCAGAAGAGATTCTGGTCCAGGAGAGCCCTAACTTGTATTCATAAAAAGCTGACAGTCCTTCGAGTAAACAGCTGTCTGCCGGCGTCCCCCTCCCACCCAACATGCTTCCCATTTCCCTGCCTTGGATGCCTTACCTTGTGGGCTCTGGGAATTGTGGGAGGAGTAGCTGGTGGTCTCCCAGCTGCTGAGAGGGTCTCACCTGTGAAGTGGGGTGAGATGGGGGAGGTCATCGTGGTGGGCGAGAGTTCAGCTGGAGCGTCTATCTCCTTGAGAGTGTTAGGTGAGAGAATAGAGACTGGCTGGGAGCACAGGACTCTCTGCAGGAAGAGAAGGAAAATGGGAAAGCCTTTCCCAAAGGGCAGACTTCTGCTCCAGCTGGTTCTTCCACCTCTTTTCCAGCTTGTCTTATCTCTCACAGTTTCTAGGCAAGGATAAAGGGACATGGTCCCTGCTGGAACCCTCTAGACCTGAGAAAGGGTCCTTTCAGAAGATGAACCTCTGTTTGTCTGGGCCACAACCCTGCCGTCACTTTTGCATTTAACTCAAAATCACTGACCTGTTTGAAGAAACAGGAGAGTTTATCTCTTTGCCTCTTTCCATCCCTCTTGCCTACTTTTTTTTTTTTTTTTTTGACGGAGTCTCGCTCTGTCACCCAGGCTGGAGTGCAGTGGTGTGATCTTGGCTCACTGCAAGCTCCGCCTCCCAGGTTCACGCCATTCTCTTGCCTCAGCTTCCTGAGTAGCTGGGACTACAGGCGCCCGCCACCACGCCCGGCTAATTTTTGGTATTTTTAGTAGAGACAGGGTTTCACCGTGTTAGCCAGGATGGTCTCGATCTCCTGACCTCATGATCCGCCTGCTTCGGCCTCCCGAAGTGCTGGGATTACAGGTGTGAACCACCGCGCCCGGCCCTGTTTTTTTTGTTTGAGACCGAGTCTTGCTCTGCCACCCAGGATAGGGTGCAGTGGCATGATCTCGGCTTACTGCAACCTCTGCCTCCCTGGTTCAAGCAATTCTCCTGCCCCAGCCTCCCGAGTAGCTAAGATGACAGTCGCCCATCACCAAGCCCGGCTAATTTTTTTTTTTTTTTTGATTTTTAGTAGAGACGGGGTTTCACCATGTTGCAGGCTGTTCTCTAACTCCTGACTTCAGGTGATCTGCCCACCTCGGGCTCCCAAAGTGCTGAGATTATAGGCATGAGCCACCATGCCCGGTCTCTTCTCTACTTTTCTTGCAGTAACAGAATTGTTCAATCTGAATGTCCAAGGTGAGACTGTATTCATATCTAATCTGGGTACATGACTGGCAAAATGGCAGGGAAGGAGGAGCTAAGGATGACTCTCCTGGAACCCTTCCTCAACTCCCCACTGCTGCCGCCTCTCCCTTGGCCCTGGGGCACCAAATCCAACCTTTGTCCTGGACCTCACCTTGGCATAGTAGATGTGGTTGGAGCAACGGTACTGAGTAAACTGGCAGAAAGATTCAAACCAGGAGGCATAAGGGAGGTTGGAGCAGACAGCACCTGAGAAAGGGCAGGGGTGGAGAAGATGAACCACGGGGAGCTTGGGGTGGGGCTGCGGGCAATGGACTCCAGGCCGTGGGGAGGGTGGACACGGGGAGGGTGGAGAGTACGGGCTCACGGTGAGGTGCCAGCCATGCCCTTCCCCGCCTCACATGAGCACAGGGGTTTTTGCCCTGAGTTTTGGGTGAACACTCGGGTGCCTCGGTTTCCCCCCTAGCCTGGCCCTCACCATCGGGCACTAAGCCATGGTTTTCATATTGGTCCAGCTGGACGAGTGTGGGATTCCGGCAGCCATGGGTTGCACGGAGACGGCAGGTAGTCTCTGCCTTCCAGGTTGGAGTCAGCAGTGCGAAGAAGTGTTCGTATTCGGTGGGGGAGAGAGGGCTGCCTGGAGTGGAGGCCCGAGTCGAATCCTGGGCTGGGGCAGGTGCCAGAGGCAGGAGCAGCACTGCGGAGCGGGCGAACGGACGATGGAAGGACAGAACCCCAAAACCCGCTCCGAGACCAGGGCAGACAGACCCAGACTGGCAAATTAGGAACGGGGTGCGGGTTATCCCTGCCGACGAGGGTGGGGGGATTCTATAGACAGAGGCAAAGGTCCGGCCGCTGGCGGGGGGAGACGGGAGGATCCCAGGAGCTAGGGAGCGGACCCAGGGCGACCACCACGAGGACGCGTTCCAGAAACCGTAAAAGCAGAGCTCTCGGGAGGGAGAGGACTGAGCCCGGGGAGAGTCTGTTGGAGCAGGTGGAAACCTCTCACCCTTCAAGAGTGAGGGAAGGAAGCCAGTGGCTGGCTTCCTCATGGCCGCAGAAGATCCGCCCGCGTTCCGCGGACCCAAGCCGCCTCTAACGGGCCGAGCCGCAGAGAGAGCAGCAGGCGCGGGGCGGGGCGGGGCGCACGCGGGCACCGCCCACGCGTCACAAAGAGCGGGCCAGGGCGGGGCCTCGACAGCCGGGTTCTCAGGGCCCTCAAGTGGCCTGATCCCATCGAGATGGTAGGGATGGCAAAAGCTATCTTCACTTAGCGTCTATTTCTTTTTTCTTTCTTTCCTTCTTTCTTTCTTTCTTTCTTTCTTTCTTTCTTTCTTTCTTTCTTTCTTTCTTTCTTTCTTTCTTTCTTTTTCTTTCTTTCTTTTCTTTTCTTTTTCTTCTTTTTTTTTTTTTTTTGTGAGACGGAGTCCTACTCTGTCGCCCAGGCTGGAGTGCATGGCGCGATCTCAGCTCACTGCAACCTCAGCGTCCCAGGTTCAAGTGATTCTCCTGCCTCAGTCTCCCGAGTAGCTGGGACTACAGGTGCGCGCCACCATGCCTGGCTTTTTTGTTTGTTTGAGACGGAGTCTTGCTCTGTTGCCCAGGCTGGAGTGCAGTGGCGCAATCTCAGCTCACTGCAACCTCCACCTCCCGAGTTCAAGCAATTTTCCTGCCTCAGCCTCCCGAGTAGCTGGGACTACAGGTGTGTGCCACCATGCCCAGCTAATTTTTGTATTTTTAGTAGAGATGGGGTTTCACCATGTTGGCCAGATGGTCTCGATCTCTTGACCTTGTGATCTGCCCACCTCGGCCTCCCAAAGTGCTGGGATTACAGGCGTGAGCCACCATGCCCGGCCTAAGTTTTGTATTTTTAGTAGAGACTGGGGTTCACCATGTTGGCCAGGCTGGTCCTGAACTCCTGACCTCAAGTGATCTGCCTACCTCAGCCTCCCAAAGTGCTGGGATTACAGGTGAGAGCCACTGTGGCCAGCCACTTAGTGTCTTTACATGGACTACCTTACTTAATTGCTATAGGAATCCCATAAGGTGGATACACTATCATTCGTTTTACAGATGAGAAATCGGGGCTTAGGGAAGCAACTGGCCCAACAGGTCCTGAGGTCTAGAGGTAAGCACAGGCAGAGATGCAATGTGCAAAACCAAGTCAAGGCCTATCTGGGCAGAAACTAGGCAGGGCGCCTCCATGAGCAAAATGGGTCCAAGGGGAAAACAAGAGGTTGGCTCAATGGCCTACAAAAGTGGTTTCTGAGGGGTAATTGAGTAAGACAATCCACTGAGGTGTGGGAGGAGAACTTTTGTTTTTGTATCTGTTTTGTGTTTAAAATGAGAAATTACAGCCAGGGCAACAGGGCAAAACCTCATCTCTACAAAAAATACAAAAAATTAGCCAAGCGTGGTGGCACATGCCTGTAGTCCCAGTTTCTTGGGGGGCTGAGGTGGGAGGATTGCTTTAGCCCATGAGGTCAAGGCTGCAGTGAGGTGCAGTCGGACCACTGCTCTCCAGCCTGGGTGACAAAGTGAGACCCTATCCCCACCCCCCAAAAAAAGTAAAAAAGAAAACAAGAAATTGTCTTGGGCCAGACTTGGTGGCTCACGCCTGTAATCCCAGCCTTTGGGAGGTCAAGGTGGGTGGATTCCTTGAGCTCAGGAGTTCCAGACCAGCCTGGGCAACATGGCAAAACCCTGTCTCTACAAAAAATGCAAAAACTGTCAGGTGTGGTGGTGTACGCCTGTTGTCCCACTTACTACTTGGGGAGGCTGAGGCAGGAGGATCGCCTGAGTCTTCAGAGGTCAAGGCTGCAGTGAGCTGAGATCTCACCACTGTGCTCCAGCCTGGGTGACAGAGTGAGACCCTGTCTTAAAAAAATTTTTTAAAAAAATAAATTAATAAAATAGACACCAGACACTGTGGCTCATTCCTGGAATTCCAGCACTTTGGGAGGCCAAGGAGGGTGGAGCTCTTGAGGTCAGGAGTTCAAGACCAGCCTGGCCAAAATGGTGAAACTCGGCCAGTGCGATGGCTCACGCCTGTAATCCCAGCACTTTGGGAGGCTGAGCTGTGCAGATCACCAGGTAAGGAGATCGAGACCATCCTAGCTAACACGGTGAAACCCTGTCTCTACTACAAATACAAAAAATTAGCAGGGTGTGGTGACACGTGCCTGTAGTCCCAGCTACTCAGGAAGCTGAGGCAGCAGAATTGCTCTAACCCGGGAGACGGAGGTTGCAGTGAGCTGAGATCACGCCACTGCACTCCGGCCTGTGTGACAGAGTAAGACTCCATCTTAAAAAAAAAAAAAGGTGGCCGGGCGCGGTGGCTCAAGCCTGTAATCCCAGCACTTTGGGAGGCCGAGACGGGCGGATCACGAGGTCAGGAGATCGAGACCATCCTGGCTAACACGGTGAAACCCCGTCTCTACTAAAAAATACAAAAAACTAGCCGGGCGAGGTGGCGGGCGCCTGTAGTCCCAGCTACTCGGGAGGCTGAGGCAGGAGAACGGGCGTGAACCCGGGAGGCGGAGCTTGCAGTGAGCTGAGATCTGGCCACTGCACTCCAGCCTGGGTGACAGAGCGGGACTCCGTCTCAAAAAAAAAAAAAAAAAAAAAAAAAAAAAAAAAAAAAAAAACGGTGAAACCCAGTCTCTACTAAAAATACAAAAATTACGGCTGCTCTCAGCTCAGTGCAGTGGCTGGGACTACACGCATGTGCCACCATGCCCAGCTAATTTTTGTATTTTTAGTAGAGATGCGGTTTCACCATGTTGGCCAGGATGGTCTCCATCTCTTGACCTCGTGATCTGCCTGCCTTGGCCTCCCAAACTGCTGGGATTACAGGCGTGAGCCATGGCACCCAGGCTGATTTCTTTAAAAAAAAAAAAAAAGGTAGGCCAGGCCTGGTGGCTCACAGCTGTAATCCCAACACTTTGGGAGGCCAAGGCAGGTGGATCACCTGAGGTCAGGAGTTCAAGACTAGCCTGGCCAACATGGCGAAACCCCATCTCTACCAAAAATACAAAAATTAGCTGGGCATGGTTGTGGATACCTGTAATCCCAGCTACTCAAGAGGGTGAGGCAGGAGAACCGCTTGAACCTGGGAGGCAGAGGTTGCAGTGAGCTGAGATCGCACCACTGCACTCCAGCCTGGGTGATAGAGCAACACTCCGTCTCAAAAAAATAAACAGGCTGGGTGCGGTGGCTCACACCTGTAATCCCAGCACTCTGGGTGGCTGATGTGGGCGGATCACCTGAGGTTCAGAGTTCGAGGCCAGCCTGGCCAACATGTTAAAATCCCGTCTCTACTAAAAATACAAAAATTAGCCAGATGTGGTGGCACATGCCTATAATCCTAGCTACTCAGGAGGTTGAGGCAGGAGAATCACTTGAACGCGGGAGGCGGAGACTGCAGTGAGCCGAGATCACGCCACTGCACTCCAGGCTGGCGACAGAGTGAGACTTTGCATCAAAGAAAAAAAAAAAGAAGTCAAGCTAATGTATAGTATAGCAGTACACATGTATAGCACAAATACATCATTTATTGGAAATTAAGTGAAAGATGTTTTATGGAGAAAAGATGCACAATTTACAAAGTTTTGGAGACCCCTGGTCTGAGGCCCACCCTCCAGCACCTCTGTCTTTCCCAAGTTGAGAACTTGTGGGTTCTCGGACAGAGGCACCACTCTGGTTTCATGTGGTGTCCTAATTCTGGAATGCCATCCTCTCACATCGTATCCAACCCAGAGGATGCAAAAAGAATGCTCAGCACGTTTACTAAACCAGCGTCTCTACAATAAACACAGCAGGCCAACATGTATAGCTTTTATTTACCTACCAAGTTCCTTTTACATGTGAGTGAGTTATCTGCATTCCACCTTGCCCCCTCTCCCATTCACAAGGCCAGGATGAATCCTCTTGGCACAGAGGAAGGGGTGCCCCTTCAACTAGGGCCAGAGCCTAGATGACCTGGTGGATCCCCCACCATGAAAAAAGCAGGAAGGGAATGGAGAAGAAAAGTGTTGATCACACCTAGCCCTCACCACAGGAGGAGGGGGAATGAAGAGGTCTGGGGGACTGCCCCCATGCTATGCCCCAGTCCTTAAATACAAAGCAAGGGGAATGAAAAGGACCCTCCCTCTGAAATACAGCACCAACCTCAGCATGGAGGCAAAAGGACAGTGGGCAAGACCACGTCCCTCCGAAGGGAGAGGACTGAAGGAGAGCACATACCGTCAGTGGCTGCGGCACCCCTCCCTACCAGGGTTTGATGCAGCCTCAGCACCGGGAGTAGGGAGAGGGGAGGAGAAGGGATGACAGTACTGTGCCATCCACTTCTCCCTGAACCCCTGGCCCCAGCACAGGCATTCCTCTGCCCACTAGCCCAAGTCAGGGGATGTGGAAGAAACTGTGTTGGAATCCAAGGCCCTTATCTATTTCTTCTTCCGTTCTTGGGAGCAGCGTGGGCAAAACCTGGAGAAGAGGAGAGAAAAGTGAGTGAAAGGAGAACGCCCTCGACCACTCAACTTAGGGACCCTCCCACTCCTGCCACTTACCATTTCCCCCGAGGCTTGGTCGTCAGCCCCACACAGGCAAAGTGGAACCACTCAATGGAACACTGGAGAGGAAGAAAGTAGTAGTAGTTAGGGGCCGGGATGGGCCAGAGGAAGGAGAGAAAGCCCCTCCAGATTCCTTAGGAACATCCTGTCCTTTACTCCATCCTTTTGGAGAATTCTTGGAAGTCCCAAGGCCAACCAGTTCCAACCATTTTCCTTCTATTCTTTTTTTCTTTTTGAGACAGAGTCTCACTCTGTTGCCCAGGCTGGAATGCAATGACATGATCTCAGCTCACCGCAACCTCTGCCTCCCGAGTTCAAGCGATTCTCCTGCCTCAGCCTCCCGAGCAGCTGAGATTACAGGCACATGCTACCATGCCTGGCTAATTTTTGTATTTTTAGTAGAGACGGGGTTTCACTGTGTTGGCCAGGCTGGTTTCGAACTCCTGATCTTAAGTGATCTGTTCACCTTGGCCTCCCAACGTGCTGGGATTACAGGCATGAGCCACAGCACCAGGCTTTCAGGTTTTTTTTTTTTTTTTGAGACAGAGTCTTGCTCTGTCGCCCAGGCTGGAGTGCAGTGGCATGATTTCAGCTCACTGCAACCTGTGCCTCCCAGGTTCAAGCAATTTTCCTGCCTCTTGCCTCAGCCTCCCAAGTAGCTGGGATTACAGTCGTGTGCCACTATGCTCAGCTAATTCTTCTATTTTTAGTTAGAGAAGGGGTTTCACTACGTTGGCCAGGGTGGTCTCAAACTCCTGACCTCACGTGATCGCCTGCCTCAGCCTCCCAAAAGTGCTGGGATTTCAGGCAAGAGCTACCACGCCCAGCCCATCTTTCTTCTATCCTGAAGTCCCAGTACTCAACTGTGGGATTTTTCCTCTCGTACCCACTCCCTTCATGCCCCTCACAACCCCCCATCCTGAGGCAAAATGTTTCTCACATCAGGGTTGTCACAGCCAATCATCTCTCCATAGGAGACCTGGTGACAAAGGCAATAGGTGGGTTCGTTGGGATCCACAGGCATATCCAACACATCAGAGGGGTGGACACTGCCAAAGGTCACTGAGGGCATCCCATACTCAGGACTTCTGCATGCCAAGAGGAAGAGAAAGTGTCATCTGCAGAAAGGGAAGCTAAAGCCTGAGGCTTTCGGAGGTGGCAGGAGATCCTGGTAGGGCAAACGATTTGTGGCTTCTCCAGCAGATACCAAAACGATAAGAAGAGTTCTTGGCGCAGAGATACAGAAAACGGCAGGGGGCGGTGCAGGCTGGGAGTGGGGCACCGGGAGAGAAGAGGATGTCATCTAGCAAAGGGCTCCCTGATACACTCACGTGCGCACGAGCTTTAACTTCTTCTGGGCAGTCTTGGGGGCTTCTTCATCTGAGTTTTTCCCTTTGGAACGAGCACGAGCAGCTTTCTTCTCCTTTTGAGTCCGGCCTTCTAGGGAAGAGGAGGAAAGCCAGAAGGCAGGGAGACGGAAAGATGGGTTAAGTCCTCTTCTCTCCCCCTTTCCAACCTGGTGCTCCACTTCCCACCAGATGAAGAGCTGACTTCTCCCTTTGAATCCTCGCCCCACCTCTCACAGCCCCGCCCCCCTCCTCACTCTTTTTGCCTTTGCTGGAAGAGCTGTCATAGTCACTTGACTCAATCTGTTTCTCCTTGAGATCAGCCTCAAAACGGGCCAGGTCTGTGTCCAGCCGCCGAATGTGTTTGTCCACCTGGGTGGAAAGGAAGGAGAAAGGAGAGGTACAAAACTATCTCCAATTAAAGAAAATAGGTTAAGGCAGAGTTTATGGATCTCACAGACCCCAAACAGATCCCAGCATAGTTGAAGGAAGGGTCTAAGACCCTGAGGATTAGATGGGAGGTAGGTGGGGAGCCATGAACAGGGCCATACCATCTCATAGGTCTGCATGGCAAGCTGCACCTTGTCGTCACCAAATTCCTTGCACTTGCCATAGGCTTCCTGGATCTGTTTGAGAAGGGCCAATTTTTCCTCGGAGCTCAGGCTGCGGGCGCTACTCATATACTCAGTGGCCAACTTGTCAATTTCAGCCTTCAGGTCTACAACAGAGACAGAGGCCTGGTCACAATGGCCCCTGGGTGGCTAGGTGAAACACATTTCTTCCTCTTGTTCTTTGCACCTTTTCCATCGACTAGCATAACCTTCCCACTAAAAAGTACTGCATGTTCAGAGGCACTGTGCCATGCACTCAAGTAATGGAACATACTGATAATATTTGCCTTAAAGGTCCGTTCAAGGTGCTGAAAACATTGCTATCATAGTGGGAATTTAAATTATTGAAACACAGCAAGGGATCCTTTGCACACCACATTAATACGAAGTATATTTTTGTCCATGTTTGAAGATGCTTCTTTGAAGGGCTTGCTGCTTCTTGAATTTTGTCTCAAAAGCCATTGTTTCCTTCTCAAAAACATCCCACAGCAGTTCTGTCTGCCGCAAATCAGGCTGAGTCATCTGCTGTTGCTGGTTTCCAAGTCTGTATATCAATATCCTACATTTTATTTTATTTTATTTTATTTTTTTAATATCCTACATTTTAAAATTATTAGTATTTTTTCTTTTTGACACAGGGTCTCACTCTGTCGCCCAGGCTGGAGTGTGGTGGCGTGATCATGGCTCACTGCAGCCTCAACTTCCTGAGCTCTGGTGATCCTCCCATCTCAGGCACCACCACGCCTGGCTAATTTTTTCTATTTTTTTGTAGAGACAGGGTTTCTCCACATTACCCAGTCTGGTCTCGAACTCCTGGACTCAAGCAATCTGCCTGCCTCAGCCTCCCAAAGTGCTGGGATCATAGGGGGTAAGCCACCATGCCTGGCCTAATCTATTTATTTTTAGAGGCAGGCGCAGGTTCTCTCTTATTTTTGTTGCCTAGGCTGGCCTCCAACTCCTGTCCTCAAGTGATTCTATCACTTTGCCTCCTGAGTAGTTGGGTATATCATACAATTTAAAATTAAACCTTACTCCAACATCCATGTAACAATTCTGCTTATCTTTCTTTTTTTTTTTTTTTTTTTTTTTTTTTTGAGACAGGATCTCACTCTATTGTCCAGGTTGGAGTGTAATGGCATGGATCACATTGCAGTCTCGACTTCTGGGCTCAAATGATCCTTCCACCTCAGCCTCTGGAGTAGCTGGGACTATAGGCACATGCCACCACACTCTGATAATTTTTTTAAAAAATTATTTGTAGAAGTCTCACTATATTGCCCAGGCTGGTCTTGAACTTCTGGGCTCAAACAATCCACTTGCCTCAGCCTCCCAAACTGTTGGGATTATAGGTGTGAGCCACTGCACCCAGGCTGTCCACCCTATTTGGCTCATCATTGCAACTTATTTTATTTTCCATCACTTTTTTTTTCCTGTTTGTCCATCTCAGATATTGTTCCAAACACATTTTTTTGTTTGAGACGGAGTCTTGCTCTGTTGCCCTGGCTGGAGTGCAGTGGCACGATCTTGGCTTACCTCAACATCTGCCTCCTGGGTTCAAGGAATTCTCGTGCCTCAGTCTCCCAAGTAGCTGGGACTACAGGTGTGTGCCACCATATCTGGCTAAGTTTTGTATTTTTAGTAGAGATGTGGTTTCACCATGTTGGCTAGGCTGGTCTCAAAGTTCTGACCTCAAGTGATCTGCCTGCCTTGGCCTCCTAAAGTACTGGGATTACAGGCATAAGCCACCGCACCCAGCCTCCCAAATGTTTTATTATTTTATTTATTTATTTATTTTGAGACCGAGTCTCACTGTGTTACCCAGGTTGGAGTGCAGTGGTGTGATTTCAGTTCACTGCAACCTCCACCTCCCAGGTTCAAGTGATTCTCCTGCATCAGCCTCCCGAGTAGCTGGGATTACAGGCATGCGCCACCACACCCAACTAATTTTTGTATTTTTAGTAGAGACGGGGTTTCACCATGTGGGCCAGGCTGGTCTCAAACTCCTGACCTCAGGAGACTCACCTGCCTCTGCCTCCCAAAGTGATGGGATTACAGGTGTGAGCCACTGCATCCGGCCCCAAATGTTTTAATATTGGAAGAATGGTAATGTCCCAGGACATTGAGTCTATAGATGTTTACTGAAATTTATGTAGGACTCATAAATATGTCAGTTGAAAGAGGCAAGTCTGACTCTAACGTAGTGCAGCAACAGATAACCAGGAGGATCTGTGAATATACTGTTTATACTCCATTCATTCCAGGCCCTTGGAAGAAGCTGAAAAAGCATATAGTTCCATAATCTCCAACTGGTCTTTCCATGCATGAACTCAAGCGTTACAACTGTATTACAAAAAAAGCAATCTGGTTCTCACCATTCGGCAGGCGGTTCTCAGGGAACTACATCCAGGGTTTTCGATGATGTTCACCTTTTCATGTGTAAACTCAGAGTAACTTAAGACACAGCTTCATGTATCTCAAAACCAGCCTGTTACATCCTTGAATATGGCTACATAGAATGGAAGACAAGACTACAGATCCTTCAGTGGGTACGGGAATAGCTCCAACAGACATCTTTGATTTGAAGAAACCAAGTGAACGCCCCAATGCAGCCAAATTTGCTCAATGTTCAAGGCCGGAGATGGTATCTAACGCTTCTGTAAGTGTGAATGGTGTAGAGATCCTGATGTCAATTACTACTTTTTTTTCTTTCCTCTCTCTCTTTTTTCTTTCTCTTTTTAAGGACTTCTCATATAGCAAACCTCCCATCTACTAACATATGTTGCAGTCTAAAGTCACACTGGGAATTTGTGACAGTAACATTAACAATGCAGAGAAGTAGAAACATTCTAGTCATCCTATAAATATATCAAACGTGGAGAGCAGAAATGACTTGAGTTGACTTTCTTTAATTCTTCCTTTTTTTTTTTTTTTTTTGAGACAGAGTCTTGCTCTGTTGCCTAGGCTGGAGTGCAATGGCATGTGGCATGATTTTGGCTCACTACAACCTCCACCTCCCAGGTTCAAACGATTCTCATGTCTCAGCCTCCCGAGTAGCTGGGATTACTGGCGCATGCCACCACACCTGGCTAATTTTTGTATTTTTAGTAGAGATGGGATTTCACCATGTGGCCAGGCTGGTCTCAAACTCCTAGCCTTAAGTTATCTGCCAGTCTAGGCCTCCCAAAGTGCTGAGATTACAGGTGTGAGCCACCACGCCCGGCTAATTCTTCTTGAGGAAGATATAAAGAACATAGCATCTTTGAATTCTTGCGGTGTTTTCACAACACTCTATTTGTTATGAAAAAGCTGATACAGAAATGAGGATCATTATCCTGTTTTAAGAATTCCAAGGGCATAAAAAAGAAGAGAGAGAAGTCACAGTTCTCCAGAACATACCAGATGATACGGTAACATCAAGTAGAAAAATAAATGATTACACACACTCATTTTATACCAAAACTTTTTACTCTATACGTACCCTCTGTTCTTTGGTCTAGGTCCCTCATGAGCTGAAAGTTTCTCTGTAATTCAAAGGGAAGGTTTTCAATACCTACGGAAGAGAGAAACAGAGAATCACAGGACTGACTGTGCATAGGCCTTACAGTTCCTTTTAAAGTGCAGTTCAGGCTGGACATGGTGGCTCATGCCTGTAATCCCAGCACTTTGGGAAGCCGAGGGGGTGGATCACTCAAGGCCAGGAGTTCAAGACCAGCCTGGCCAACATGGCGAGACCCCCATCTCTATTAAAAATATGAAAATTAGCCTGGTGTGATGGTGTGCACCTCCAATCCCAGCTACTTGGGAGGCTGAGGCATGAGAATCACTTGAATCCAGGAGGCAGAGGTTGCTATGAGCCGTGATTGAGCCACTGCACTCCAGCCTGGGCGATAGAGCAAGACCCTGCCTCAAAAACAAATGGCCGGGCACGGTGGCTCACACCTGTAATCCCAGCACTTTGGGAGGCCAAGGCAGGTGGATCACGAGATCAGGCTATCAAGATCATCTTGGCTAACATGGTGAAACCCCATCTCTACCAAAAATACAAAAAATTAGCTCAGCGTGGTGGCAGGCGCCTATAGTCCCAGCTACTCGGGAGGCTGAGGCAGGAGAATGGCAAGAACCCGGGAGGCAGAGCTTGCAGTGAGCCGAGATCACGCCACTGCACTCCAGCCTCGGAGACAGGGAGACTTTGTCTCAAAAAAGAAAAAACACCACCACCAAACAAACAAAAAATAAAGTGCAGCTCAGTTTTCCTTCCTCTGAACCTCTGGATTTATCTGTGACAGGATTTATCAGTTCTCTCATGACAGGCCATGCTTAACTCTTTCTCTACAAAACCTTTCCATTTTTGCATAGCTATCCCACCCTTTTTGCCTTCAGTGACCTTCCTTTACAAATGCTCTTCCCATCAGGTGTGGTGGCTCAAGCCTGTAATCCCAGCACTCTGGGAGGCTGAGGCAGGTGGATCACGAGGTCAGGAGTTTGAGACCAGCCTGGCCAACATGGCGAAAGCCTGTCTCTACTAAAAATATAAAAATTAGCCAGGTGTGATGGCGCGTACCTGTAATCCTAGCTACTCAGGAGGCTGAGGCAGGAGAATCACTTGAACCTGGGAGGTGGAGGTTGCAGTGAGCCAAGATTGCACCACTGCACTCCAGCCTGGTGACAGAGTGAGACTCTGTCTCAAAAAGAAAAAGAAAAAAAAAAAAAAAAAGCTCTTCCCTTTCCTTTCTTTTCCTTTTTTGTTTTTTGAGACAGAGTCTTGCTCTGTTACCCAGGCTGGAGTACAGTGGCACAATCTTGGCTCACTGCAACCTCTGCCTCCCGGGTTCAAGTGATTCTCCTGCCTCAGCCTCCGGAGTAGCTGGGACTACAGGCGTGTGCCACCACACCTGACTAATTTTTGTATTTTTAGTAGACACAGGGTTTCACCATTCTGGCCAGACTGGTCTTGAACTCCTGGCCTCAGGTGATCCTCCTGCCTCGGTCTCCCAAAGTGCTGGGATTACAGACATGAGCCACCGTGCCCGGCCCCTTTCTTTTATTTTCAATCTCTGCCTCCAAGCTCTTTGTCCTCAAATTATAAATAGTCTCCTGGTATCCTCTATTATACACCTAACACTTCCAATCTACTTCCATATAGCAGCCAGAATGTCCTTTTTAAAAAGTGCAAACCTGGGCCGGGTGCGGTGGCTCAGGCCTGTAATCCCAGCACTTTGGGAGGCCGAGACGGGCGGATCACGAGGTCAGGAGATCGAGACCATCCTGGCTAACACGGTGAAACCCCGTCTCTACTAAAAAATACAAAAAACTAGCCGGGCGCGGTGGCGGGCGCCTGTAGTCCCAACTACTCGGGAGGCTGAGGCAGGAGAATGGCGTGAACCCAGGAGGCGGAGCTTGCAGTGAGCTGAGATCCGGCCACTGCACTCCAGCCTGGGCGGCAGAGCGAGACTCCGTCTCAAAAAAAAAAAAAAAAAAAAAAGTGCAAACCTGGCCAGGCACAGTGGCTCATGCCTATAATCCCAGCACTTTGGGAAGCCCCAGGTGGATGGATCAGCTGAGCTGAGGAGTTCAAGACCACATGGGAACATGGTGAAACCCCGTCTCTACCAAAAATACAAAGACTTAGCCGGGCTTGGTGCACACGCCTGTAATCCCAGCTACTTGGGAGGCTGGGGCACGAGAATCCCTTGAACCTGGGAGGTGGAGGTTTCAGTGAGCCAAGATCACACCAATGCACTCCAGCCTGGATGACAGAGCAAGACACTGACTCAAAAAAACAAAAACAAAAACAAAACACAAAAATAAAACATGCAAACCTAATCAAGTCACTCTCCAGCTTATAACCTTCTGGTGACCTCCTACTGCTCTGAAGATGTGCCGCGCTTTCTGGCCCTCGCTTACCTCACACCAGCCTTAACTCACTCTGTCTCCCTTTGTGCTCTGCTCTGCCCATACTGGCCTCCTCTCACTGCCCCAAACTGGCCTCTGCTTCTGCCACTCGGCTTTCCACATGCTGTTCTCTCTAGTTGGAAGGCACTGCTTGCTTCTCCTCATCCCATCCACCCCATCCCTCTTGGCCTATTAAATTCCTGTTCGTTCTTCCAAAGTTCAGCTCAAACTCAACTTTCCTAGGCTCTGTGAACTGCCCTAGATCTATGTCAAGGTATTCTATCTACCTTTTTAAAGCACTTATCCAACTGTAATTAAATAAATGTGTAATTAGTTGGCTGGGTGCAGTGGCCCATGCCTGTAATCCAGCACTCTGGAAGACAGGTGGATCACTCAAGGCGAGGAGTTCAAGACCAGCCTAGGCAACCTGGCAAAACCCCATCTCTACTAATAATACAAAAATTAGGGCCAGGCACGGTGGCTCACACCTGTAATCTTAGCACTTTGGGAGGCCGAGGCGGGTGGCTCACTTAAAGTCAGGAGTTCAAGACCAGCCTTGCCAACATGGTGAAACCTGTAATCCCAAATATTTGAGAGGCTGAGGCACAAGAATTGCTTAAATCCAGGAGGTGAAGGTTGCAGTGAGCTGAGATTGCACCACTGCACTCCAGCCTGAGCGACAGAGCGAGACTCTATCTCAAAAACAAAACAAAACAAAAATTAGGCTGGGTGCAGTGGCTCACACCTGTAATCCCAACACTTTGGGAGGTTGAGGAGAGTGGATCATGAGGTCAGGAGATCGAGACCAACCTGGCTAACACGGTGAAACCCCGTCTCTACTAAAAATACAAAAAAATCAGCTGAGCATGGTGGCAAGCGCCTGTGGTCCCAGCTACTCAGGAGGCTGAGGCAGGAGAATGGTGTGAACCCGGGAGGCAGAGCTTTCAACGAGCTGAGATCATGCCACTTGCACTCCAGCCTGGGCGACAGCACGAGATGCCATCTCAAAAAAAAAAAAAAAAAAAATTAGATGGGCATGGTGGCCTGTGCCTGTAGTTCCAGCTACTCGGGAGACTGAGGCAGGACAATTGCTTGAACCAGGGAGGTGGAGGTTGCAGCCTGGGCAAAAGAGCAAGACTGTTTCAAAAAACAAAAAAATAAAAAAATAATAATTGTGTAATTAGTTATTTGGTATCTGTCTCCCCAAGCCGAACATGGCTATCATATTCCCTCCTGTTTCCCTAGTGTTTAGAATTATGACTTGCGAAGAGCAAGTAGTCAGTAAAATACTTGAATAAATGCATGAATATTTGTCCCCTCAGTATAAGAAAAATCTCTTCCCAAGACTCCACCTAAAACTTTAAAAATGCCTCTACTGGCCGGGCACAGGGGCTCACGCCTCTAATCCCAGCACTCTGGGAGGCCAAGGCTGGCAGATCACTTGATCTCAGGAGTTTGAGACCAGCCTGGGCAACATGGCCAGATTCTGTGTCTAAAAAATTAAATATATATATTAAAAATAAAATGCCTGGCATGGTGGCTCATGCCTGTAATCCCAGCACTTTGGGAGGCCAAGGTGGGTGGATCACCTGAGGTCGGGAGTTCAAGACCAACCTGGCCAACACAGTGAAACCCTGTCTCTACTAAAAATACAAAAATTATCTGGGTATGGTGGCGGGCACCTGTAGTCCCAGCTACTCGGGAGGCTGAGGCAGGAGAATTGCTTGAACCCAGGAGGCAGAGGTTGCAGTGGGCCAAGATCGCATCATTGCGCTCCAGCCTGGGCGACAGAGCGAGACTCTGTCTCAAAAACAAACAAACAAAAACACCTAAAACAAAATAAATTAAAAAAAACCAAAATGCCTCTACTGTTTAAACGTACAACTTCAGGTCTGCTACCACCAGTTCACAAGATTAAGTCACCGTCGATGTACCAAATCTAACGGTGTTATTAAACCTATCCTAAAAAATATCTCTGCAGCAGTTGGCATGATCTTTTCTCCTCTAACTTTCGTTTCTTTTCTTTTGAGGTGCAGTGTCGCTCTTGTCACCCAGGCTGGAGTGCAATGGCACAATCTCGGATTCAAAGGATTCTTGTGCCCCAGCCTCCCAAGTAGCTGGGATTACAGGCACCTGCCAACATGCCCAGCTAATTTTTGTATTTTTAGTAAAGACGGTTTCACCATGTTAGCCAGGCTGGTCTTGAACTCCTGACCTCAGGTGATCCACTCATCTCAGCCTCCCAATGTGCTAGGATTACAGGCGTGAGCCACCACTCCAGCCTTTTTGTTTTTGTTTTGAGATGGAGTCTCACTCTGTTGCTCAGGCTGGAATGCAGTGGCTCACTGCAACCTCCGCCTCCCAGGTTCAAGCGATTCTCCTGCCTCAGCCTCCTGAGTAGCTGGGACTACAGGTGCCCGTCACCACGCCCAGCTAATTTTTTTGTATTTTTAGTAGAGACGGGGTTTCACTGTGTTAGCCAGGATGGTCTCGATCTCCTGACCTTGTGATCCGCCCGCCTCGGCCTCCCAAAGTGCTGGGATTACAGGCGTGAGCCACCTGGCCTGGCCACAAGTTTTTTTTTTTTTTTTTTTTTTTTTTTTTTTTTTTTTTTAAGAGGGACACAGAGTCTCTCTCTGTCGCCCAGGCTGGAGTGCAGTGGTATGATCTTGGCTCACTGCAATCTTCACCTCCTGGGTTCAAGTGATTCTCCTGACTCAGCCTCCCAAGTAGCTGGGATTAGAGTCACATGCTACCATGCCCAGATAAATTTTTTTTTTTTTTAAATAGAGACTGGTTTCACCATGTTGGCCAGGCTGGTTTCAAACTCCTGACCTCAAGTGATCTGCCCACCTTGGCCTCCCAAAGTGCTGGGATTACAAGCATAAGATTCTGTGCCCAGCCTGTCTACCTCACTTTCTAAGCAGGAAGAAGCCACCTGAGATTCTTCCTTCTCTCTCAACCACCCAGTCAGTCAGTCCTTTCTTTTTCCTTTTTTTTTTTGAGACTGAGTCTGGCTCTGTCGCCCAGGCTGGAGTGCAGTGGCCGGATCTCAGCTCACTGCAAGCTCCGCCTCCCGGGTTCACGCCATTCTCCTGCCTCAGCCTCCGGAGTAGCTGGGACCACAGGCGCCCGCCACCGTGCCCGGCTAGTTTTTTGTATTTTTTAGTAGAGACGTGGTTTCACCGTGTTAGCCAGGATGGTCTCGATCTCCTGACCTTGTGATCCGCCCGTCTCAGCCTCCCAAAGTGCTGGGATTACAGGCTTGAGCCACCGCGCCCGGCAGTCCTTTCATATTTAACTCCTAAATACTTCCATAACTCCCTAAAATCAGGTTCTTATCTCTGTCCTGGAATGTTATCACTAATTGATCTCTGTTATCAGTGATATCATGCTTCAATTTACCATATATTAGTCATTTTCGTTTATAAAAATCACATTGTACTTTAAAATGCAAACTTCTTAGTTTGGCTTAAAAGACTTTGTCCAATCTAGCCTCAGCTTCTTTCTCCAGTCTCGTTTCTCAGTTTCTTACCTTAGAGTCATAAATATTAAATACGCTGACCTCTGAGTCATAAATATCAAACACCCTTGACTTTGCCACAAACCTATCACAGTACCTCTGCAGACACTTTCCCCAACCTAGAATTCCCTTTCTCTCCTCACTGGCAAACAACCTTCAAGACCCTATTCAAACGTCACCTCCTCTGTAAAGCTTTTCCTACATCGCCAGGTAATTACCCCCCTTTTCTGCAGTGTTGCCTACCAAATGTCCTTTTTAATGGATTTCCATTATTTCACTTGTCACAGTGTTTTACAATTACTTGCAGAATCTGTTTCCTTCTAGATCGAGAGTTTCTTGAGGGCAGGGGCCTTGTCTTACCCATTTTTCTATCCCTAGTGCCTGCCATTATGTCTGACCCATAGTAGGAACTCAATAAATATTTGTTGAATAAATGACTCCGGGCCCTAAAACAAATGTAAGCGCATAGGGCGACAGGCTTTGTGCAGGGGTGGTTTACATAAATGGCATAACACCAGATTTTCATTTGATGGGAATTAGATCTTTACTCCATGAAGAGAAGCGTTCCAGCTCATCATCTGACAGTGGTCACTCACCACCACCACTCTCACCACCACCACTCTCAACCCCACCACTCTCACCACCACCACTCTCAACCCCACCACTCTCACCACCACCACTCTCACCACCACCACTCTCACCACCACCACTCTCACCCCACCACTCTCACCACCACCACTCTCACCACCACCACTCTCACCACCACCACTCTCACCACCACCACTCTCACCCCACCACTCTCACCACCACCACTCTCACCACCACCCCCCCCCCCCCCCCCCCCCCCCCCCCCCCCACCACTCTCACCCCACCACTCTCACCACCACCACTCTCACCACCACCACTCTCAACCCCACCACTCTCACCACCACCACTCTCACCACCACCACTCTCAACCCCACCACTCTCACCCCACCACTCTCACCACCACCACTCTCACCCCACCTCTCAACCCCACCACTCTCACCACCACCACTCTCACCACCACCACCTCACCACCACTCTCACCACCACCACTCTCAACCCCACCACTCTCAACCCCACCACTCTCACCACCACCACTCTCACCACCACCACTCTCAACCCCACCACTCTCACCACCACCACTCTCAACCCCACCACTCTCACCACCACCACTCTCACCACCACCACTCTCACCACCACCACTCTCAACCCCACGAGAAGCCACTTCTGAGGAAGAATGGGGTGGAGGAGGGGTCTTCACCGCTGCTCCAAATGACAGTGGGTGATAACGATTCTGAACGACTATAGGAAAAAAATCTACCCAGAGGCTGGAGACGCTGGAGAATGGGGGCAGCAATTATCTTCCCGGCCGTGCACACTAGCCCTTCAAGACACGTCCCTAACCCCCACACCGCAGCCCCTCCCTCCTCTACCCCCAACAGCGGGGCCTCGATCCTGCTGCCCCGCCCCCTCTTTCTCCGCACCCTCCAATATTTCCTGCCACAGAACCCCCTCACAATTGTAACCTTCTCGTCATTGAGACTTAAGGGCTACAGATCCTCTCATCCCTGATCCCCGCACCACTCTACAGCCCCGACCCCCACCTCCAGCCTGCTCTTACTGTCCAGATAATGTTCCAAATACATCCCCGCAGCCATCTCGAAGCAAAACAAAGCAACTTCCGATCCGCCCCGGAAGTGACTATAACGCGACAGGGTCCGAAGCCATTTTGGGGCTAAAGCCTTTCCGCCCTTAAAAGGAGAACTTCCGCCCTTACTATGTTACCGCCGGTACACATCCGCCCGACGCTCAAACTTTTCCTTTTGCATGGTAGCCACGACCGCCCATAGTGAGGCAGCTGTAGCCCGCTTCCGCCCTTACAGAGACCCCAGGACGCGACCGAGACAGGTATGACGTCACTGAAGGTCGCCATTTTGCATTATCGGGCAAACTTTTTTCCCTCCAAAACGGGAATGTATAGCAATCGGTGCAGGGGTAACTGTTCACTTTAGGCTTATATTGCGTAAACATCCCTTCTCAGCGACTGGAAGATACAGCTTTTTTTTCCCTCTTTGCAGAATATGACTTTTTTCAAGCCAGTTAGTTTCTTAAGGAAGTTGGGGAAGAGTATCAAGCCTTGAGAGATTTAAACCCTTTGCATTTCTTTTCACTCACACAAACACCATCTCCCCCAGCATTATTTTTTAAGCTTGAGAAGGATTATCAACTTTCTACTTATAAATACAAATAATGACAATAATGCTATAATTCTGCACATCTTTTGTCGACCTCCTGTACTTTATACTCGAATACTTTCACATATAAAATATTACTTCTTTTTTTTTTTTTTTTTTTTTTTTTTTGAGACGGAGTCTCGCTCTGTCGCCCAGGCTGGAGTGCAGTGGCCGGATCTCAGCTCACTGCAAGCTCCGCCTCCCGGGTTTACGCCATTCTCCTGCCTCAGCCTCCCGAGTAGCTGGGACTACAGGCGCCCGCCACCTCGCCCGGCTAGTTTTTTTGTATTTTTAGTAGAGACGGGGTTTCACCGTGTTAGCCAGGATGGTCTTGATCTCCTGACCTCGTGATCCGCCCATCTGGGCCTCCCAAAGTGCTGGGATTACAGGCTTGAGCCACCGCGCCCGGCCAAAATATTACTTCTGACGTTGCCCTCTTGCTACTTTTTTTTTTTGAGACAGAATTTTCACTCTTGTTGCCCAGGCTGGAGTGCAATAGCGTGATCATGGAGCCATCTCTCCACAACCTCCACCTCCCAGGTTCAAGTGATTCTCCTGCCTCAGCCTCCCGTGTAGCTGGGATTACAGGCATGCACCATCACGCCTGGCTAATTTTGTATTTTTAGTAGAGACGGGGTTTCTCCATGTTGGTCAGGCTGGTCTTGAAATCCCGACCTCAGGCGATCTGCCCTCCTCAGCCTCTCAAAGTGCTGGGATTACAGGCGTGATTCACAGTGCCTGGCACCTCTTGCTACTCTCTAAGGGGGAAACCTCATGTTTTTGTTTTCCTTTTGTTTATATGTGATGTTAGCATCATAATTCTGAAGGGGTCGAGTGATGCAGCACTATCACTACAGGGCTAGTTGGCTAGCTAGTTGCCAGCCATCACTCTAGTTAGCTATGGTAGAGTGATTTCTATGGTTTCCATCAGAATGGAAAGCAGTCAAGGGTATGAGAGGCTGCCAACACACTAGGCAAATAGAACTCAAAGGCCATAACCTAATAGTGGTGTTAGTAAGATAGCATCTTAGAGATAGCTGCCACCCCTCACGCCTTTCATACCCTCACACATCCTTCATAAGAATTATCAATGTCTTATGTCAAGTTTTTTTTTTTTTTTTTTTGAGACGGAGTCTCGCTCTGTCGCCCAGGCTGGAGTGCAGTGGCCGGATCTCAGCTCACTGCAAGCTCCGCCCCCCGGGGTTACGCCATTCTCCTGCCTCAGCCTCCCGAGTAGCTGGGACTACAGGCGCCCGCCACCTCGCCCGGCTAGTTTTTTGTATTTTTAGTAGAGACGGGGTTTCACCGTGTTAGCCAGGATGGTCTGATCTCCTGACCTCGTGATCCGCCCATCTGGCCTCCCAAAGTGCTGGATTACAGGCTTGAGCCACGCGCCCGGCCAAATATTACTTCTGACGTTGCCCTCTTGCTACTTTTTTTTTTGAGACAGAATTTCACTCTTGTGCCCAGGCTGGAGTGCAATAGCGTGATCATGGAGCCATCTCTCCACAACCCCACCTCCCAGGTTCAAGTGATTCTCCTGCCTCAGCCTCCCGTGTAGCTGGGATTACAGCATGCACCATCACGCCTGGCTAATTTGTATTTTTAGTAGAGACGGGTTTCTCCATGTTGGTCAGGCTGGTCTTGAAATCCCGACCTCAGCGATCTGCCCTCCTCAGCCTCTCAAAGTGCTGGATTACAGGCGTGATTCACAGTGCCTGGCACCTCTTGCTACTCTCTAAGGGGAAACCTCATGTTTTGTTTTCCTTTTGTTTATATGTGATGTTAGCATCATAATTCTGAAGGGGTCGAGTGATGCAGCACTATCACTACAGGGCTAGTTGGCTAGCTAGTTGCCAGCCATCACTCTAGTTAGCTATGGTAGAGTGATTTCTATGGTTTCCATCAGAATGGAAAGCAGTCAAGGGTATGAGAGGCTGCCAACACACTAGGCAAATAGAACTCAAAGGCCATAACCTAATAGTGGTGTTAGTAAGATAGCATCTTAGAGATAGCTGCCACCCCTCACGCCTTTCATACCCTCACACATCCTTCATAAGAATTATCAATGTCTTATGTCAAGTTTTTTTTTTTTTTGAGACGGAGTCTCGCTCTGTCGCCCAGGCTGGAGTGCAGTGGCCGGATCTCAGCTCACTGCAAGCTCCGCCTCCCGGGTTCACGCCATTCTCCTGCCTCAGCCTCCCGAGTAGCTGGGACTACAGGCGCCCACCACCTCGCCCGGCTAGTTTTTTGTATTTTTTTAGTAGAGACGGGGTTTCACCGTGTTAGCCAGGATGGTCTCGATCTCCCGACCTCGTGATCCGCCCGTCTCGGCCTCCCAAAGTGCTGGGATTACAGGCTTGAGCCACCGCGCCTGGCCTATGTCAAGTTTTTAATGAGACAGACTTTCAGCTATATAATTTCTACCAAATACATGAAGAGGAGGAACTTCCAACCCGGGGCGGATTGGAAGTTGCTTTGTTTTGCTTTGAGATGGCTGCAGGGATGTATTTGAAACATTATCTGGACAGTAATAGCAGGCTAGAGAAAGGGGTCAGGGGCTGTAGAGTGGTGGGGGTATCAGGGCTGAGAGGATCTGTAGTCCGTAAACCCCAGGTTTACTAGTGTGCAGGTAGTAAGATACAGCAATAGAATCCAGGAAATTTTGCTCTCATTATAAGAGTCATGCTTTTCGGTAAGTAATTTAATCTCTGTGCCTGTTTTACTATACAGTGAGAATACTACCTACCTCATAGGGTTGTTGCAATAAATTTTAATACTGGTGAAGTTAGGGCCATTAGAGCCTTTTCAAGAGCTGTTGAGAGTGGGAGGAAAAGCAAGTAAATATCCAGGGAGCTAAGAAACACTGGCATATTTGGTCATATGTGATACATTCATTGGTATTACACAACATATTGATAGACCACCTTAGGTGCCCACACAGGATATCTAGCACTAAATTAAGTGTACTTTATTTATCCCAGCCCAACTAGGTAACAAGTACTATTGGCCAGCAGTCCCAGAGAACCACCAGTTCTCGGGATGTGGGAGCTTGGTCACAACTTTCACTTTTTCAGTGCTTAAAGCAAGGTTTTCTTCTCTTTTTTTTTTTCCAGACAGAATCTCACTCTGTGGCCCGGCCTGGAGTGCAGTGGTGCGATCCCAGATCACTGCAACCTCTGCCTCCCAGGTTCAAGTGATTCTTCTGCCTCAGCCTGTAGCTGGGACTACAGGCGTGTGCCACCACACCTGGCTAATATTTGTATTTTTATTTTTTTGAGACAGTCTCACTCTGTCGCCCAGGCTGGAGTGCAGTGGCATGATCTTGGCTCACTGCAACCTCTGCCTCCTGGGTTCAAAAGATCCTCCTGCTTCAGCCTGAGTAGCTGAGATTGTAGATGCCCACCACTATGCCCAGATCATTTTTTTTTGTATTTTTAGTAGAGATGGGGTTTCACCACAATGGCCAGGCTGGTCTTGAACTCCTGACCTCAAGTGATCTGCCTGCCTCGGCCTCCCAAAATGCTGGGATTACAGGTGTGAGCCACCACACCCAGCCTTAAAGCAAGCTTCTTAATTCTCAAAAAAGGTATCTTGAGAGTTATCTAGTCCAATCCCTTCACTAACAGTTGAAGCAGCACCCTGGTCAACACTGGTTGATGGTAGGCAAAGAGCTTAAGTCCAGGTTTCATGATCACATTCTACTCCACGGTACTACAGCTCTCCTGCATAAACCAATCTTGCACCGCTTAACCGGTTATGATTTCCACAAGTCAATAAACATACATATGGATACGCTGCCAACTGCAAGCCCCTACTCCAGACTCAGGCAGGAGTGTGGATCCTTCCAAGAGGCTTCCATTTTTCTTCCATAGGGAGCTGAGCTGTTGGGTTAACACACAACCAAAGCCTTGCTCTCACCTATTTAGGAAATGCAATCCCCCATGACAGAATGTGTATGTAGAAGTCCTCATCAACCAGGATTCACTGGAGACGTCATGAAACTGTACCCTTCCACGACTGGAGAACTGCACACATGGGACATCATCACACAAGCACTCGTTCATCACACACACACTCTGCTATTAATCAGTTTATAAATACTATTCTTGGACACCTCCCCAAATGCCTTTTCCGCATGCTCGCTCACATCAGTAGCTCCACTGCCTCTGATCCTTTTACATGAATTTATTTCTATACAATGTTCTAAAAACACCCCTTGGTTTGTACATAAGGTTTTTTCTTTTTTTTTTTTCTTCATTTTTAGATTGCTTTATAACAACTGGTTTCCTGATTTTTTTTTTTTAATTTCCTTTTCTCTGAAATCTGCCATGATTAAAAAAAAAAAAAAAAAAGACAAAAAAAAATGCTGTGGCTGGAGGACAGGGGTGGAGGGAAAAAAAGGACAAAAATAAACATCAAATATGAAAATTCTCAGAGATAATGCATTTATAAACACAGAAATGGTTACAACAAAGATGGCCGTGATGAGTGGGTA